TTTCTTGTGGTACGAACATCTGTTTTCCTGTTCTGTATGTGCAGTGATGGAAATTTAATAGGTCCTATAAGCAAGACAGCTGAGTTGTTTTAGGCCAAAATTACTAAATATCACTGCATTTTGAGCAAAATATTCTTGTGTCATTGGCAACGGTTGAATCTTAGATAAAATTGGTTCATAAATATAGATATTTACTGATTATTGTAATTATATTGCTACTGTAGCACTAATGATCAGGAAATTCACCATAACCCTAGAACAACACAATTTTTAGCTTTAATCGTTTCCGATCAAATCAACTCAAATCTGGTCAGTGATTTCCTTTTCCTTGTCTTCTGTAATGCCATTGGTGGAAGCAGGGGGCACTTATAGAGACAGGTAAACAGTACAGAATAAAAGCTGGGTTGGTAGACAAAGGATATCTTCAAAATTCATATTCTTTAAAAATATCATTTAAAAAGAGAACTTTAGACAAAATATAACTGAAAATAATCTATAATGAACTCTAGTGTATGTAACTAGTTACCTGTTTCTACATTACTATGTGTGGATCCAGAGTTTGGAATAGAAAGCTTCTCCAGGATTTTTGGACCTGTAGCAAAAACTGAATCCTATCTACAAGACTATTTTACTACTGTGTGCAGTAGATTTGACAATACATACATTGCAAGTCAATACAAAAGTGTATGATTGCGCTCATAAAATGATTTAATTTCAAACCTGCAGGTGCTGGAATGGACCAGCTGAATGTGCCCAAGTTGATTGATCGATCAACTTGGATACAACCAGCCTGCCAGATTTTCCATACGATAATCGCTAGTGGCTGTTGTAGCCGCTAGCAATAATCACTGGGTTCTCCTGGCAGGGAAAGAAATTTGCTCCGTCAATGGCAGGCATTATATCCTATAGTAATTTGTAGCATGACTGAAGTTCTCTTTTAAGTGATCATCCTATTTTGCAGGGCCTCTTTTGTAGAGCAACTCTAAAAATTGGAAATCATTAAACTGTTGAAGATAATCCACCAAATATCGCAGCTATATCAAAATCAGAAGGCCCAGTCAAATAATGAAAAATGCACCTGTGCCTAGTTTATAGACATTATAGTGTTTGCATATTATTAACAAGCAGTAAAAGCCTAAAACAATCCCTCATCTCTCTAGCTGCATGTTCTGTGAAGTAATTCATCCTCACAGATCCTCAAAGATGAAAACAAAGACTCTTAAGTCAGGTTTTGGTTGGTTTCTACAAGCTTAAAAATACCTGCTGTGTGTTTACATTACAGCACTTGTAGACTGCCATGGAAACTAAAGAGAAAGAAGGTCTGATATGTCTTTGTGAACTGTGATGATGGATTTCTCTACAATGCTTAAAGATGCAGAGATAAATTAGGGCTTGTTTTAAAGTGCTTTTATTGCTTATTTAGAATATGTAAATACTTAGACTTGGCAGAGATACACCTTAAGCTTTACATAAGAAAATACAGCTATATTTCATGAAGCCCCCACATTCTTCTGGGTGGGTCTGATGTTGTGTTGTTCAACTTTCCCTCTCTCTGTCAGTCTGCCTATCAAAGGCTGTATCTTATAGCTGCAATATGTTGTTACCTCTAAGTTAAAACTAGTTCATATGCAGTAAATTAAACCATTATACTTCAACATGAATCATTTACTTGGAGAAAAAAGTTGTGTACTGCACAATGCCCTTTGTAGATGACACCACAGAACATTTATTTAATAACAATGATGATGGGGAAAATGCAATAACCCACAGCAACCAATCAGAGCCACAACTGACCTGAATAATGTCTGACATTATAGGTTATCATACTTTGCAAATCATCACTGCCTTGTGCACTGATACTTTAAACAAGCCTGTATGTGCTTTGTACCCTGTAACACACGATACACACATACTGTATATTTCCAACACAGAAAGAAGTAAGAATCCCTTAAGAGCACTTCACATTAGTTATAGGTTTTAAAATGTTTCTATAATCTTCCAAACCTACCCTAACGTAAGATCCTGATGTAAAACTACAGAGTGGTACAAAGCTGTAGTTTCCTGAAAACCAGAAAAATGAAAATTGTGGCTTTATAGATCCTGCTACAAAACCGTATTGCAGTTTACTGTTTCTTATATGTATAGATTTATATATTTATAGATATTATATAGAAATACACAAACACACTCAAAAACCCAAAGTGCAATACCCGATTAGTAGTGAAGCTGATAGTTTTATGCATAAAAAACATTTGATACAGATGTAGTCAGACTTCTGCTCCTCTTCATGAACTCAAATACTGATGCAGGCCTTGTCCCACAATGCCCCACTTACCATGGCAAGTTAGTCTGGCTGCATCAGTATGCAGGCATACCATATAGTGAACAAGTACCACCTTCCTAGACACATCTGAATAAATTGGTGAGCAAGCAGCACTATGTGACAGACAAATGTACTAATGAGATTTCGGTCAAATAATAAAGGATGTGTTTAACAAAATGGTGCAATTAAAATGAGAACCTATGAATTACACAGGCTCACGTAGCAAATGTTTAATTATCAAACCCTTGAGAGTAAGTGAGCTACAATGGAAATTGCCATTTCAGTGGTTTAAAGGTTGCCAGTACTTTGACACATTTTTAGGTGATTTTCAAGTCTTACAATTATTTGAATCAGTTTACTACAATGACGACAACTGGTGCGTGAAGTTATAATTACTTATGTCTACTGTGAAGATCTGCCATTGTGACCTTATCTCAATGACCTTCTACCCCTTTTGCTGCTGTGCCTGATGGTGTATCAGAAACAGCCAAACTGATAGCTCTGTCAAATTAACAGCAATAGGGGAAGATTGATGGTGGAGGTTTACACAAGTGGGCCTATAACTATATAAATTGACAGAAGAAGTGCCCTATTCATCCTCCACACCAAACTAAGTCAATATTTTTGGGTGAAGCTTTGGTTTAATTTTCATAAGCTAAGGCTGAACTTCAGGCAAATACAAAATACACAAATAAATGCGGCTAGATAGTTGTTTAAAATATTGCATACACTTCTTTTTATCAAACTAATGGCAGTTTTCCTTGTACTGTCATTGACTTGGCATCAGCCACTTGCAATCTCCAATACAGCAGACAGGGAATGGTTAGGGCAAGACTGGGAGCCAGTTAGGTAAGCTGCATGCAAATAATCTGACAAGAAACATGCAAATAGGAGAAAAGAGCAGAGCGAGCAAAGAGATAACCTAATCAGTCTGCTACTACTCCTTCACTGTCCAGTCAGCAGGCTAGGGGTGAAGAGAGGGCACCAATGTATCCATTCCATAGACTAGAACTGTAATAGAGAAAATGGTGTTGTCTGCCCAGCTGTGATGTGTGGTAGGGATGTGAAAAATCTGGACAAAGATGGATGGATGGACAAAGACATAAATCCTTTGATAGGTAAAAAACTGTTTACATATATATACTTTATCTGTGTATTTAGTTATATGCCAAGAGTTCAGCTTTAAACATTTTTACTGATGCCATTTCTAAGGTACATTGAATAGTAAAAATGATAGCATGTAGACATAGCTGCCAAGCATTCAATTATAATCATGTACAAGCACTTCAGTGGTGTCAGCAAACAGGTATACATTTTGTGACAGCCTGTTAACTTTCTGAATAATGGCAACCATAGTGGCTTGACCGCAGGTAGTGCTGCTTTCTCAGGCACTTATCAACAGTGACTCGGTAAGAGGCTCTTTAATTTTATGACCTGATACGAAGAAAGAAAGTGCACTGAATCCATCCCAGACTGAAATGAATAGAATGCTCATTGTAGAGTTTACAGTACAGCCCTTGAGCATTACGCACAAGTATAATCAAAGAAAATACTAAAACTTATACTGATACTTAAAATAGCCACAAAGCTGAACAACACCATTCACACAAGCATATATGTGTGTGTGCGTGTGTGTGCATGTGTTTGTTTTGCGCACGTGTGTATATGTGTGTACATATTTGACATGGCTAGGAATAATATATACATTGAAATTATAAAAAAAAAAAAGCTACCGCAACAAAACCAGAATTACCACAGCACTATATGGGCACCACGTTCCAAGACTTCGCATTATGCCCATTACCAAATAAAATTTTGAGTGCAAAGAAAAAATAAAAGGAAAATTGAGAGTAGAACCTCACAAAGGATAAGGCTGCAATAAGAATGTGACTTCATTGTACTCTTATAACCTAAAAACCAATCCCTGAGAGAGGGGAGTATTGAAGAGGAGGTGAGATTCAACATTGTTGAACTGTAAGCTGTAGATAAATGCTTTTGTTGTGCAAGTTTTTTTTTTCGTGTCCTGAGGTGAAGAAAGTAGTTTATTTGCTAGTTGTCCTTTTGGAAGTAAATTTTATCTTTTGATGAACTGGAGACAAACATGATGTATAGCAATTGAGGAATATGACTTCGAGAGACAGGTTTAGGAGATTTTCCAAATACACAAGAGATGAACTTATGGAGGTCTGATCCAGGACAGACAGACTTGTATAGTTAAGTGACATTTAGTGTAGGGGATATGCGTATATGTATTTTGTATACAAAAGCAGAAGATTTCATGACATCTGGAGGTAGAAAACGGAGGAAGTACTGAATTCTGAATCCAAGACAGAATCACCTGTAAAATTTTGGAGATCCAAAATAGATTTGTTAAGAGAATTCTGGAAATCCAAGAGAAAGGCAGCCAGGAAAGTAGAAAGGACGTGTTCCTTATATTGGTAACTGGTATTTGTTCTGTTAGTTTAAAATAAGTTGTCTTAAACCACTTACAAATCAAAAACATAAAATAAAAAAAAAAAAGTTAAATGTAGGTAAGAAAAAGTTAATTTCCCAAAGTATTCCACATTAGCAGAGGAAAAGTGCTAATGTCCAGTGCAAGTAGACTTAAGGGGAGCTTGCTGGGCTGATAGCAGGACTAGATGCATCGGAGCGGCTGTAGTCGCTGACAGATCCATTCCTAGAGCTGGCACCCCCTCGCCCCTTTAAGCATGCTGGGCTGGAAATTGGCATGGCGGCGGGCATGCTTGGTCAGGTGGTCACTGCGCATAAAGCGCTTTTCACAAATTGGACAGCAGAATTTCTTCTCTCCGGTATGAGTGCGGTAGTGTCTAGCAAGCTCGTCTGACCTAGCAAACTTCTTGTTGCACTCTTCCCAACTGCATTCGAAAGGCCTCTCACCTGTGAATAACAAACAGAAAAATGTTAATGGAGACAATTATTCATGTTTCTGGCTTTGACAGATGGGTTCAGAAAGATATATATCAAGTAGAGTGACAGCAATGTACAGGGCCGTAATTTGTAAAACACACTAGCATGCAAATGTGCAATCTATTATTTTAAAAGCCTTAATTTTTTCTGTAATTTGAACCACAATTATAAATAATGAATACAATAAGCTATCCCGAACATAAAAAACCTCTGTTTTCCCAAAATATTTCTGCATTTGCTTTATTCTGTTATATTTTTAAGTGTTCTTAAGTTCAGCCAGAAGCAAACGTTAGCCAGTTTAGCGTAGAATGATATTATTACATAAAAAAAAAAAAAATACATTTTCCTTTTTTGGGCTTTTGAATAATGAGATACACATTCCATACTTGTATATTAAATAAGGCCCCTTTCACATTGCCCAACTTCGGTTTCCCCACAGCGTAGGTGCAGGGCAGTGTACCCACAGTTTTCGTGTGGGTTGCTAGCACTTTCACATAGACTTCTATCAGATCGGGCATGTTTAGTGCGTTTTCTGAAAGTCCACTTAAGATGCAGCATTCAAGACTTTGGTGCACTTTCAAGAAATGTACCAAAAACTCCTGATCTAATACAAGTCTATGGGAGAATGTAGGTAACCTGCATGAAAAGCTTGGGTACACTGAGCTGCACCCACACTGTGGGGAAACCAGGGGAGGGCAGTCTGAAAGTAAATATTGATTTTCAAGCCTGGATATTTTACCAGAACACACAGGCCTGGGTTTACTTTGACAGGACTCCCAGGGGCAAACATACAAGTCCTGTGCTAGACTGTAGCTTTCCTAAAGTTGGGTATTTCTGAGATCATGTTACTCCCATCTACTATTTACTGTTAGTGACATTTTAGGTTCCCTAGGCCTACTGCCCACTGGCACAAGAGGAACAGACAGCTGTAACACAACCTGATTTCCAATGATTTGCTAAGACGCCATCAGGGCATAATCTGATAAAACATTCCAAAGTGCCAGGTCCAAGGAGGGTGGAGTAGCACAATAAATAGACCTAAATACAACAGTTTTGGCACTTGAACACCTAAAAACCCAAGAATGGGCTTAAAAAATAACAACAAGGTTATGTGGTACAAGTGAGCATTCCCTTAAAAATAACAAAATCATAGATGTTTATGGTATGTAAGACACAATGTATTTAGCTGTTGCTATCAGGAAGGTATTTAAATAATTCTATTGGTCCTTCTCTTATATAACATAGCCAACACTTCATGATTTATGCTAAATGTGGATACTGCTTAAAGTAATACTAAAGATAAAGTTTTTTTTTTTAATAACAAACGTCATACCTGCTCTTTGCTATGGTTTGGCACAGAGCAACCCCAAACCTCCTCTTCTCAGGTCCCCCACTGACGCATCTGGCCCCTCTTTCCCCGCCAAGTGCCTCGTACCTCATGCGTGCTCGCTCCCAAGCCTCACTCTGTGTGTTTATAGCTATGCAGTAATTGCATGTAAAAAAATCAGACAGGTTGGTTGTACTGAATATGATCGATGGATCGACTTCAGTACAACCAGCCTGCCCACAGATGGATCAAATCTTGGCCGGATCAGCAAGGACCAGCTGAGATTCGATCCATCTATGGCCAGCTTAAGAGTTATGAGCAGCAATAAAAAATCTGACTGAACGTTTTACCCCTCTGCGCTTTAAGACTGAAGTTAGTTCCACCTTAAACACTCACATATTTTGCTAACAGCCATTATTTATAAAAGTTAGAATTTCCCTCGGTAAAAAATATCTGAATAGTTTAAAATAATTTTGTCATCTCAGACATATTTTTAGAAATCGTCAAAATTACACAAGTGAGTGCACCTTTGGCAAACATTCTGATTTTGCTGACTGCACATTTTTCAATCTCTGTTCCTTATGACGTTGATTAAGCCCTCAATTATAAAACCTAAGCAAACACTTGATACAGTCTTGGGTAACAGCTATCCGGTTCTTTTTAGTTATATAGTACATGTAAACAAGGGTGAAATGCCAGGAAAGCAGAGTTTGTGGCATGGAAGAAACACACCAGATGTTCCGCATGCACACTACCTGTTTGACATTCTGTAGTGTCAAACACCACTTCTGCCTCTACAGAAGGATGTGGTTTCAGTTTATCAGAACTGCTTTTCTTTATTTCCCCACTTCAACAAATGTAACTGTAACTGGTTGAGTTTAAAAGTGCAGAAACATCATGGGCGCCATGGGGGACATGTCACATTTCTTCTGTGCACATGAAGCTAAAACTTGTTTTGGCCTTGAATTTTTTTGCAAATATTTTAGGCCAGATGGGTCTGAAGTGGACCTTTTCTCTGTTAATCTATGGCTCCTTGCTTTTGCAGTGGGTGTCCTCCTTGGTTCCCCCTTTCTGGGTCTGCTGCCCCACACTGCATGACATTGAAAACTCCTGTTTTTGCTATGTATCTTGCTATAAATTATGGACTTTGTATGCTCTGCACATCTGTCTATTATTCTTTAATAAAAAAAATAGCGCACACATACATCAGTAGTAAAATAAAAGGGATGTTAACATTGCTGGCCACTTTCTAAAAACACTCAGTTTCTGGTTGTTTCTGTTTCATTTACTGACCAAGAACAAGTATGTAAATTAGAAGTCAGAACTCCTGAGCTACATACTTTAAATTAAAAGTTGCCCAGTATTTCAGTTATGTTCTCTTGGGGAGTCTAGCTCCACTAAATGTCCTCCAGACACAAAATATAATGGAGCTCCTGTCTGTCAATGAGCATAAAGTCAATTGTACTTTAAAACTGAAAGGTTGCATAAAACCAAATGGTATGCCTGGTTCCCACTTCTCCCACAGGGTCGGTGCTGGCAACCTTGCCCCTCCCCCGTGACTTCAGGACTGATTGGAATTACAAGTGTGTTTGGCTGAACAACTTGTTACAGTACAACAGCCTGGCAGGGAAGCCCACCTAACCAGAAACTTACAGTCAAAGGAGTGAAGAGTGAGCAGAGTTTAAGCCTGAACTGTCAGTGCCTGTAAGGAAGGCAGAATGCAACCAGGATGGTCCAACTCAAAGGGGAGCTCTCTGGTGTTGCATATGAAGACCCTGAGCTTTCCGTACTCCTCCGGAACCTCTTTGTGCCCCAAATGCTGTCTCTGACAGACAAGTAAGCTCTCCATACACTAGCCACGTTGCCAAAGCACACTAAAACCTGGGGCAAAGACTTAAGAAGACTCTGTGTGACCCAAGAAGGCCTCAGGGTTACCTGGATGCAGCACAGCCATCTCGAACACTACTCCAGGGAACCAAGAGAATCATAGAGAAACTCAGTTTCTCTTAACTTACACCTCCAGCTGCACTGCCACTCAAGATGAGAGTCATCTACAGTAGGGAAACTAGACTGCACCTGCATACAAGTGGTCAAAGTGCTCAATTTGTCACACCAAAAACCCACTACTAACATGGACAGTCTCTAGCAGGGAGAATCTTCCTCCAAGACAAGTCACATAGTTCACTGGCTAGCTTCTTCCAGATCCACCTACATATACATCACAGGGATTCTCAGTCCCAAGTTATCCAGGCAGGGCCTATAGGTGAAAAACATGAAAATCACGTATAACTTTTCTTAGGACATTGAAGACAGTGGGCATTCCACACTATACACACAAGAGTCACTTCAGTGCAAAGCTTTCTCTTCATTCCACATCCCAAAACACAAGAGTGTCCCATATGTTTAATCTGAAGAAACCTAAATCTAACTCTACAGTTGTTTCAACATGGAACAAAGAGTTTTTTTCCATCAGAGTGGTTTACCAAGGCTTTTCCAAAAAACAAATTATTTCCTTCTTTGTTCAGGTAATTTAGGGTACTCAATCTCCTCTGAGAGATTACTCTCAACCTCTTTTCCTTTAAAAGCTCTAGAAATCCACTGGCCTCTACCCCTAACTAGGGTACTCATAAGCAGTGACTCAGTCCTTGTTTCTAACCCCTTCACAAGGATTCATTTCCACTCACTTTATGGGTCAACCTCTCCTGCCTTTACTCCAGCACTTTTTTAAGCTAAACCCACAGGCCTAAAATGACAGGGCCGCTACCTAGTAAGGAAAAAGCAGGACCTTTCCTTAAAGAACCCCAACACCTCTCTATAAGCACATTCATAGTACTACAGGAATGCTGTGATGGTGAAGTGCCTGACCAATGTCAGGCCAGAGGAAGGTATATCTGATTAAACAACTAATTTTCATAGGAGAGCTTTGGGGGAAGGGAGCTTTATGCTCAAAAGTGAACTGCTCTCTAAGCAGGTGTGGCTCTCAGCAGACCATATGTGACCCCCTGGGGAATTATTCTACTCGGCGGTTTATCTTTCTCTTTCATTTGAGTCTGACATGGCTGGGCAAGTGTCAGACAAAAGATTTTCATGCCTGTGGTCTTGCCAGATAAGAGGATCTTCTGTCACATAATGCTTTATATCTGACAGGATAAGAGTATTGCCCTATACAGACATGATGCAGTGATTATCAGCTCCATGAGGATTCTGTATCCTGATATTTTAAATAAAAGAAAAATAATTGGAACCTTTTAAAAAAAAAAAAAAAATAGCAATTGGCCCAAAAAAAACCTGCCATTATTTAAATGCATCTAGTCCTATAAAGGAAAAAAATGATAACAGACACGAGTATGGTTAATGAGAGAATTTACAAACTGGATATTATTGCTTGAAATAAATCACAAATCCAATTTCTATTTTCTAGTCCACTGTGTCTATGAACAAGACTCACTCACCATATTGTACTCCCCAGACTGATTGTCCTCCCTCCACCAAGTACAATGCATACAAATGACACATTATGCTAGATTCAGAATACAGCCTATGTCCTAGGGACAAAGCCAGAGGCAGCTATAACAATAAGAAAACACACGCGGAAGGCCCTCACAGAACTAAATGACGGCTGCTAGCAATAAAACTTTGGCAATGTG